CTCACATGAATAACTGAGTACTCACTGAGTAACAATACTCAGAAATTGTTAGTAGTACCAATATGAGTACTCATGGACGAATTATGAGTAAAGTCGTACTCATCGTATGAGTACTTTCACTAGGGTAATGATAACAATAAATAGACATTCATATCAAGAAACCCTTGACATACTGGAACAAATAAATGAACAATCTTATGAAAATCCAAAAAAAAAACTGACAAAAATCAGAGAAACTCTCATCCTATGCCTTTAGCCATTCATTGTCATCCTTCACTCTGATGTTCATTTCTAGTACATAAATCTGTACCTTTCATCTAAACTTCACTCTTCATCCTCTCATCCGTTAATAAAACAAATTTGACTGGAACTGAAAAGTCAATCTTAAATATCTCTGTTGTTGTTTTGAGATAATTCTTGAGATTTGAGACATTTTCTTGTGAAAATTCAAGAAATTTCTTCAAAAATTTCATAAATGTTTTTTTCGAATTTTTAAAAATTGTCCATAATTCTACAAAATTTTTGATTAATTTTTCTTCACTTTAACATTCATTTCAAATTGATCTATTCGAATTTATCGTAAACATCTGTCATTTGTGTTAATCAGAATCTTTAACGGTTGGATAATTTTTCGTACGATTTTTTTTATAATTAACATATATGTCACCGAAAATATTCATTTTTTGGTCATATGATAAGCCATTCAATCTTTGTTTTATTTCAATGCTGCTATTGTATCGACGATAATTATGAAAACAATAATACACACTGAGATCACTTTTTATATTTTGGAATTTCATACAATGTTCTATTGCTCGATTACTAACATGATCAATATTAATTGCATTACCTAAAAAAACAAAAGTTTTTAAATAAATCTTTCAATGATAAACAAAAAAAAAACACTCGGCTCATGATATCAGCAAAATGAGAGCATATTTAAAAAAATTTACTCGGATTTTTCTTCAAGAACATGATGCGATCACTTTTTGAAGTTTACGTCGACCCTACGATACGATGCCTTCAGCACTCCACAATTTCTATCTAAAGTGGTAAAAGATTCTTTTAAAGAACTTATACAGATCCAAAGTGAGTACACAGCAATTTTGAAGGTCTAGTCCCTCGTTTAAATCCTTGCGACGTATTTCTGTTGCGATGGTGAACTATCTTTACCACGTGCGAGACGACGCCCGTGCCCATGGCTTCACTCTATTTCTAAAAAGTTAATAGTGAGCTGTGATATCTTTAGAAAAAAAATATTCATCTTAGATTAAGTTTTTTGTCCCTTATTATTCAAAGTCTGGTATCAAAATAAAGGTGAGAGAGCCTGATGTCTTATGATTCTAACGTGAGCCTTACCAATAAGGTAACCTTTGCTGTATGTGAAGAAAACATTCACGTTTGGACTGGAGGATGCGTATCCCTGAATACTAGACGCTAATATCCATTCGTTGCTAGAGCCAATCTATCATCCTGTGAATAAGGCGGAATGGCTTAGCCCCAATCTTCTGTGCGTCAAACAGGACCGAACTGATACCCGTTACATCCTGAAAGTCACCAATGACAAAGCGATCTTATACCGAGGATACTCACGATTACGATGACATCAACCTTTGATGCTTTTCTCACTTTAGTGCATTTTTATTTTGAGACCTTGCGAAGTTAACATATTTAACGAAGTTGTACATGGTAGAAGTCCCAACATTTCATACATTTTGTGAAAGAGAGCACCCAAAATAGTTAAACAGAAATATTTCAACTTTGTGACAACAAAGGGGAAAGGATTTATGTTTCTGTACTCTTTCGTTCGTTAAAATTGCTCTGTACTTACTTTGTATATTATTTTTTCATTTGATTCCCTTTTGAAAAAGTGAAAACAGCAGATATAACTGTAAAAAATTCGAGTATAAAGGTAGTCTGCACACTACGTTAAGAAAATATGAAGTGTCTTGTGTATAACGGACACTGAAACGGATTCTTGAAAATTTACATTCTTCAAGTATTTTCAATTTTTCAACATGAAAATAATTTTTCAAACATTAAAACACATATTTTCTGAATCAGCTCGACGCACTCTATCCAACTATGTAATCGCATTAATGAAAATAATTTTTTAGGAGTGCACCGATAAATTATATTATTGTAATTTTTTTGAAAAATCACGAAAAAAGTGTAAGTGTTGTGGTAATAATGTGATGATGTTTTAGAAAAAGTTTTTATTTCGCAGTTTCACCGTATTAAACCTAAGCATTTGCCACATAGTCTGTACACTAATGAAAAAAAACGTTTTATTCGTGTTCAAAATCACAACAAATTGAATGAGCAATTGAAAGAAACTCAGACAAAAATCAAGACTCTTAATTTTCTTTTTGGAGTCCTTGCTACTTTTACCGTGATATTTAGCGATTCGATGGTCAATGAGTCTTAAAAAATAGCTTCAGTTGGTGGTTTAACCGTTTTTAGAGTTTTATTGCATTGATTCTTATCTTCAAAGTCCTGATATTCTAATATCTCTTGCTCTGAGATTAGAAGGTCTTCTAAATCTGGGAATGAGTGGTCATCTCCCACAGCCATCGGTCGTCCGACATCTAATAATTTCGCCTTATTCTATTCGTCCAAAAGTTTCCCTCGTAGGTTAGAACGTCTATTGAGTAGTTATGTCGTCAATGCTTTCATAAACTTTATTTTGACTTGTTTGAATGAAATGTGTGTATTAAATTTTTCGTAAGAATATTGACGCTAGAAAATGGCAAAACTGTTTAACTAATAAATGTTTATTCTATATTTGCTTAGAAATGAATCTGTCATATGTCTATAAAAAAGGCACCCATTGTTGGTTACATCCAATATAATTTAACCTTGTAGTGTGTAGTGTAGGAAATATTATCCCTTCTGGTTAGTGTTCCTACGCGTTTAGTTAAAGGTGAGTGCAAGCAATGTATAGCAATATATAGGTGAAATAATTTGCTATAGCAGTTTCTTAATTGTGTATTTATTGCCGCATATTTAAATTATGGAGATACAACGTAAACAAACATTACAGGTTAAAGGGCAATTTTTACCCAACTTTAATCAGTACGGGATAATAGATAGAGACTTTTTGATTCGACAAATAAAACTTCAACTACAAGATAATCCATACCCGGTCAATACTGCTGGTTGGACGCGACGGACCATTGAAATCAAAACACTTGTTGAAGAAGTGAAGCTAAGTCACTGGCAAAGTCAGTTTCTGAATGAATTAAAACATTTAGGGGTTAATGATGTCGATCTCTGGCACGGATCTCACATTATTGTTCAAGATGACGGCGTTCTCTATTCAAGATGGAGCAGAATGACACAAGCAATTCGTAGAGTTTCATCTCATTACAAGAAGTCAAAAGTTCGACAATATGGTTTACCATTTGGTACCTATCAATTTTTGTTTGGAAAAACAAGTCCTCATGGCTGTAGTTGGTTTCAAATGGAAGCACATGCTTTTAATCCTCAGGCAATCATTCAAGATCCAAGAAATGGACTAGGAATAGTTCTCGAACATGGTGAAGATTTTCTAAAATATCGAATTACGGGAGAAAATGTGGGTCCCTTCGGTTTTTCACCACACACAGAAACGAACAATCCCATTATTTTACCATTTACTAATGTGTCACGTAGATATTTAACAAACACGTCAAAGCCAGTAACTCGTCAGAAGACAGCAGTTTCAAAAGGACTAAAACTCAAGAGACCTATTCGTACTTTTTAAATAAACTACAAGAAAATTAATCGTGTTTTTGGGCCAAAATGGATATTTTTCTCTATAGAGAAATATTAAGTACAACACGGCCGACAACCAGGACATTTGTATTGCTATGAGTTGCGTTTCTCATGTGCCATCCGAAAAGTTAGTCTGGAATCAAATGTAGACTCTGTAAATAATTTACGTCTCTCTCATATATTACGTCAGTACATCTGAGGTAATATATGAATGGAAAAACACAAAATTAGAGGTCACTCTTCACACCCCTCTTTAATCTTATTGTTGATCGCTGTATGTTTATAAAACATAATTAAACTAACGAGATTTGATCGTATTGCACAGTAGTAAAACAAATGTGTACAAAAAGAACAAAAAATATCGTCGATCTATGC